AGGGAGAATAATTCTGTTTCACTGGCCATTTTCCATTTCTCCCAATCATGTCTTTTCTGATATTCTGATATGGACCTTGGATCTGGATCATCGCTTTCAAGCTCTTTTGATACAGAAAAAAAAAATATTCCATCAATATTTTTTATTTTATCTCTGATCCATAATTCTCCAACTGGGCGTAATTGATGGAAATCTCATATTTTTCTGTTTCACATTCGTCTCCAAGACGAATCTCTTTATCTGGTTCTTCTAGAACCTTTTCACAAATGTCTTCACGACATTTTTCTTTAAATGGTTCCTCTAGAACCTTTTTATTTTGTTTTCCCATATTCTTTTTCTTTCGGAGAATTTTATCTTTAGAACCCATCGGTCTCCCCCTCTTCAACTGAACCCTAGGTTCATTTGATATATTCCCATCAATATGTTCTTCGGGAACACTAATTCTGGATGGAACATTTATATGACTTTGTCACCCTCTTGGTATCTGTGAACACATCTGGTAACTGGTTTGCCATATTTTGCATATGTACAATTTTCTGAACTTCTATCTCACGTTGATCGGTAGGAGGATCAAGATAAGCCAAAGATTTTGTACACCAAGTGATATCTTTTGGTGATTCTCTAAATCCTCCCCTTAACGCGGGGAATTCATCATCATTAAAATAGCAATCGGCCAAAGGTGCCGTAAACATATCACCAGTTACTGGTTCAAGATATGTGATTATACTCGGTGACGTATAACTAATGTATATTCTTAATCTTCTTTGTGGTCCCATTTTTGTTCTTTGGGGTGGCGCTATAGGGACATAGACCGCACACCCAAACACACAAAGATGGGATATATTTGGCTCCTGTCCAGATACCAACTGTAATGGAGAATACTCATTATGTGCACTTGGCTGTATCTGGATCAGGGCCGCTGCATGCAAAATAGCATGTCCCCATACATTAATTGGGAGTCTTGTTTTCAATATTAATGGTCTTGCAATCCATTGCAACCGTTTAATCAATGACTCAGCCATACCATTTTGTGTATGAACATGTGGAACCGGATGCTCAACATCGATTCCCAATGACATACAATAATCATTAAACACTTGTGAAGTGAATTCACCAGCGTTATCCAGCCTTACTTTCTTTATAACATAATCATGAAATTGTGCTCTCAACCTGATTATTTGGATAATGAATTTAGCGAAAGCCGTGTTTCGTGTGGTCAATAGACACACATGTGACCATCTACTAGATGCGTCAATCAAAACTATAAAATATCTAAACGGCCCGCATTATGGATGGATCGGCCCACATATATCACCATGTATTCTTTCCAAAAATTCTGGTGATTCATTCCCAACTTTGGCTGGTAATGGCCGAGCTACGAGTTTTTCTTGAGAACAAGCATTACATAAAAACTCGCCTAGTCGTAATATTTTTCCGTTTTTCAACGGATGGCCATTAGAATTTTGCACAATCTTTCTCATCATGACTGAACCAGGATGGCCTAACCTTTCATGCCAAACTTTAAATGTACTAGTAAACTTCTGGTTTACTATAACATATGATTCAGTCATACTTATTTTTGTGCAATATAATCTAGATGATAACATTTTCAATTATTCCAATATATGTTTCCTCTCTGATGTAATGCAAAGATATTCAATGCCATTCTTATTCATAGTCTCTATATGATATCCATTTCCGCGGATATCTTTGAAACTTAATAAGTTTCTGTAAGACTTTGGGGAATATAATGCCTCATTTATCTCCAACATTGTTCCCCTTGGCATTGAAAAACTGACTCTTCTGGAGCCCATAATAATTTTTGCATTACCAAATATCGTATTCACGCTTCCAGCGGAATCATTTTTATTTTGAGACTGGAGAAATATTTTTTTTATCTTTAATAATCGTGTGCGTTGTAGCACTGTCTGCCACACATATATATGCATCCATAGTCTCGAATTCTGGCATTTTTAAATTTAAAATATTCATAAAAGATGTATTAATAAATATTAAACACATACCTGGTAATACAACTTATGATACAATAGAACCTACAACAAAACATTCAATAACAAAAGCATATAATACATTAAAAACATTAAGCTTTTGTTTTCATGTCTTCTTCAGGAAGACATCATACTACATCGATTTTGGTTACTTTGTTTCAGTTGATCCTTCTAGATCAACTTTGAAATCCGAAATATCGAGATGAGTATCGTCATCAAGGCCGTGGAAAGAAGGTCCGGAATCATCAGAAAGAAAGTTCGTTTCCCTTTCTTTCTCTTTTGCTCTCTGTGATTCCCGGTTCAGATCGGCTAAATGTTTTGGCGTATGACAAATACGTACCCAATGACCTTTCATGCCGCATCTGAAACAAATAGTTTCCTTTTTCCTTTTCATTTCCTGGCCATCATTATCATCATGAATAGTTTTATCATCTTTTTACACCATATACACGACCACGATTTCGACCACGGTATTGACCGCGTCCACGTCCTTGCCAATTATTATAGCTGGATGATGCAGCATTCACTTTAAGGAATGGTGCAGATCCAGTTGGACGGCTTTGATGGTTCATTATCACGAGCTCATTATTCTGCAACAAGCAGAACATTCATTAACTCCGAATAACAGGTATATCCATTTGCCCGATATTGTTGTTGCAGGACTACATTACCAGGGTGAAATGTGGAGAGAGTTTTCTCAATCATATCATAATCACTTACTCTTTCTCCACATAACACCATTCTCGATGTTATACCAAACATCGTAGAATTATAATTACTAACATTTTTGTAGTCCTGAAACCGGAGATGTAACCACTCGTGTCTGGCTTTCGGTAAGATCACATATTTCTGGTGATCAAACTTTTCTTTAAGTGATTGCCAGAGATCAGCAGGATCTTCTTTGATAATGTACTCATCTTTTAAGCCATCGTGGATATGATGACGTAAAAATATCATGGTTTTTTTTTCTCATCCGATGTCGGTTTCGACTTATCGATTGTATCAAGAAGCCCGTTTCCTCTTAGATGCATTTTTACACCTACTGCCTATGTCATATAATTTTTTCCAGTAATATCAAGGGCAGCAATTTCAAATTTTGCAAGATTTGACATTATAACTTCTTGGCATAGATCTGACTTCAGGGTATAGAGACGTTCATGCTGATAACATGTTATAAATTATTTATTATATAAGATGTGATATGTGTTTAATATATATATATATATATATATATATATATATGAGATTTTTGTTTGGTGATAAAGAAGGAAGAGAGACGAGGACTTTATATGGAGGGGTAAAGATGTTTACTGACAAAAATTAAATGGATAAACATTAATCTATAAAGACAAAATGTTATTTTTCAACAATTTCATACTATTTACTGGTATTTATAAAATATTTGGAAATTTTACATATTATTTCATGCTATTTTGTTAATTGTTATATATACAAGCACACATATATCTTACTACATAAAAATTCTTATTATATAAAATTTGATATTCAAAACTTTAACTAACATGACTATGACATGTGTCAAGCATATTGATATATATTTTGATAAGTGTAAAATATCAATAAATTATATTTTAATATAATATTAGCATAAATTTAAAAATTATTTGAATTAAAAGCAAACAAATATATTTTATGTTTTCTAATTATACTAATGAAACTGTACAATCCAATTACTAATACCAAAGGAACATATTAAAAAATCAAAAAATATTAAAAAATTAAGAAGTTTAAGGAAATTTTAAAAGTAAATAATTATCATTGCTCACCTCTATATAATAGGATTTATGTACCTCTTAATTTATAAAACCAAGACTTCAAATATCTGCTTGAGTTCAACAACTACAAAATTAGTTTTACTTTACGTCATCTTATAAAGTGTGTATATACAAATTTGCATGTTAGTTTAGCGTCATGTAAGTATTTTACTTCACCTGGGTTAGTTTAGTTTTATTTAGATCATCTTGTTATAATTACCTGAATTACACAGTTTAATTTACTACAAAAAATTAATTTAACATAGTTTAAACTTATTAATTTAGTTTTTTCGTTTGAGTTTTTTCTTATCATTTTAGGATTATATATGTTTTAATTTAACTATTGCAAAATAGTCCAAAAATATTTAATTAATTAATCCAAAATAACTGCAAAAATGAATTTGTTTATATGTTTATTTTTCAACTCAAACAAGACGTATAATTATCTCTCTTTTTTTGTCAAACGACGTATAAGTATCTAACCCTTGAAAGAAAGTGAAAATGTATTCAGTACCGGTCTGGTCCGAAGATTTTTGATGCTTTATACAAATCTAAAAAATATGGCCTCTTATTTATTGTATTTACTATTAAAAAATGATAGTTAAAACCTTATAAAAAATCCAATTTCAACCAAGCAATTCAAATTTATTAATTACTTACAAAAATTAAAAAATAATAAAAAACCATTTTTTATTTGCAAAATCATTCATTAAATTCACATAGTCAAGTTTCTTTAACCATAACCATATCATCTATACTAAATGAAAGCAATTATTTGGGGCTCCTAAAACTATCCACATCTGATTTTTAAAACTATTCTCTCCTTTTACCACATCAGCAAAAAAACATTAATCAAAAAACTTACTTCAGATTTTTTAAAAATACACATAAAATAAATAAATAAATAGAACCACTAAAACTAATATAGTTATTAACAAAAATTAAATAAATTAAAATATTTTTTTGAATCAGTAAAATAAACATTATTTAAATTTATAACATTAATATAGACTCTTTTTCTTTTTAATATAATGAATATTTTGGAAAAGAATTGCTCCAAAAAACTTAAATAATAGTTAATAGATAGAAGATTACAAAATAATAATTTGAAACAAAATATTTCTCATAGATCATCAAACACCATCATTAAGGTTTGACCTAGAACATTGGGTATGAATGCATCTAGGTTATATTTCTAAAAAAATAACAAATTTAGCCATGGCTTCTACAGCTCTCCGTAGTTCCGGCCGGCCATCAATTTTCCAGATACTCAACAATATTCAAGGTGATTTCTGCAACGACGAAGTTTTAGCCCGCCTGGTCCATTTTTGGAAAGCCAGGAATTTCAAAAAAGGCAACATCCTCATGGGTGTTGAACTGCTTTTACTCGACTCTAAGGTATGTCTCCCTACTCTTTCCATAGAGACATTTAGCACCACACAATGTAAACATTATTCTAATTACAATTCCACAGTCTAATGCAGTTCAAGGTTTCATTTCTGCAAACCGGCTGATTAAACATGAAGAGAACCTGAAGTGAAACTCTGTTTACAAGCTTAAAAATTTCTTGATCAATCCCTGCAAAACGCTTTATAAAGTCTCGGACCATAATAAAGCCATCTGTTTCACAGACCAGACAACAATGGTGGAGGTAACTGAGGGGGATCACGAAATAGAAACCCAGAAATTCAGATTACGTACCTTCAATGATTTTTCTGCCATCGCTGACATGGAAATCAATCTCTTTGGTAAGTAAAACACTACATCGCATTACTCAACGTCGAAACCATTTCAGTTTTACTCATTTCAGTTATGCTTCTTCTAGATGCCATTGGACAAATTCGCCTCATAAGCGGAGATAACCTTCGTCCCGCCAACGGAGACGCACCTCAAGTCCTAGGCAACAGATCAAAAGATAGAGTCTTCTTGCACCTGCCTATGAAAGAGTAATATGTTATGTTTAAAATTACTTTAAAATATATGTACTCATTAAAACTACCCACTGATTGTATTGTCTCTTAAATTGACAGTGGTGAAACCGTCCGTATTTACCTCTGGGGCAATATTGCTGCTGCATTTCGAGAGAGATGGAACACAGGCGACGTCCAACCTGTTGTCCTCATAACCACCGTGAATCCAAAAACTTTTGGTAAACCAGTTAACTTCTTAGATATTGATATTTTGTTTCAAATTACAGTACTTGATTTTAAGCTTCACTGGTCACAATATACACTATTTGAGGCTTCTTAAAGTATCTACATCAGCTTTTCAAACTACTATAAAAATATGTCAGCAAAAAAATAATAATTAAATTAAATTCTCACTTTTGTTTTTTTTGAAATACATATAAAATAAATAAATAGAACCACTAAAATTAATATAGTTATTAACAAAAGTAAATAAAACTAAAATATCATTTATTAAATCAATAAAATAAGCATTATTTAAATCTATAATATCAATATATACTCCTTTTGTTTGTAATATAACAAATTAGCAATAATAAAAAATTTCCACTCTAGATTTTTTGAAATACACATAAAATAAATAAATAGAACTACTAAATTAATATAGTTATTAGGAAAAACTAAATAAAACTAAATATCATTTTTTGAATCAGTAAAATAAATATCATTTAAATCTATAGCATTAATACATACTCCTTTGTGTAATATAATGAATATATTGGACAACAAATTGCTCCAAAAAAAACTTAAATAACAGTTAATAAAAACAAGGTTAAATATTGTTTTCATTTTGTTTTAAAAAAAATGATTTTCTTTTGTTTTCTTTGTTCAAATTTAGTTTTATCACTATTTAAAAACCACAAAGGAAAAAAAAAAATTTCTATTTTATTAGTTGATTAAAAAAAAGAAGTTTTCTTTGCTTTCTTTTTTAAAGATTTATTTATTACTTTTAAATTTTTTTTATCATTTATTAATTTTCTAAAAGAAATTCTACAAAAAAAAAAGAAACATGGGAGATGATGAAGATTTCCTTCAAAATTTACAAAACACTCAAGACATTTTCAATAAGATGCTTGAGGACAACTGTTAGGATCTAGAACCCTCAAGACGTCGACTTTTCTTGAGATAGATCCGCACAAACCAAGAAAGAGAGATATTTGGCAAAGCGAAACAGGGGAGAAAACAGAGAGAAGCATAATAAGAAGAAGAAAGAAGAAGAAGAACGTGGAAGCACACAGAGAACTTTTACGAGTTCACGCCCGTTAGGGTCGCTATGTCTCGCCGAGCCTTGCTCGGAATCCACTAAACACAGAGAGTATACAACAATAGAGTTAGAACAAGCACTTCTTTCTATCGCCCTTCATTAGCGCATAGAGTTTGCTCTGTTCTTACTCTTGTAAACCGAGAAGATACAATGTAATGCTTATGTTAAAACTGTATTTTTCACACTCTCAAACTAATCCTTAGTTCTCACTAACTCTCTCTCAATGCTCCAGAAGGCATTATATAGCGTTACCACCTTTAGGGATTCCCATCAACACAACCGCATATCACACATCTTGAAACGCCAAAATGTAGTACTCCGTTAGCGATTGTAATACTCCCAAACGTGCTTTCTTCCTTTGACCACAAGCGGACACAAAGTCCTTTGAGCGTAAATGAGGCTGCTGTTTTGTCTTGATGCTGCAGTAGCCGTTTTGCCAGCTCGAATGTGGTCCCACTCCTTAACTCAATCATGATCAAATAATAACCATGATATCTGGTTTCTGAAGTGGTCCCAATAAAGCATACACCAATTTGATTATGCTTGTTCTTCAAGTAATCAAGACTTCACAAATCTCCACCTGATCATTTGAAGAACAAACTGAATAAACCTGCACTTTTAGTAAGCGAGAGAGAGAGAGTACCTTGTTTAGTTAGCCGGATTCCAGGCTCGGATTCCCTGAGTTTTATTACTTAGACTTGACTCGCAGTAAGTTCAAAGCACTCTGAAACTTGCCAACAGCCAAAACCTTGGTGAATATATCAGCCGGATTCTTCTCGGTTGATATCTTCAAAACTTCCACATCTCCTTCAGCGATTGTGTCTCTGATATAGTGACACTTCACATCGATGTGCTTCGTTCTCTCATGATGCACATTGTTCTTTGACAGAGCAATTGCACTTTGTGAGTCACAGAATATTTCTACACTCTTCTGATCATAACTGAACTCCTTTAATAAACCTTTCAGCCACATAGCTTCTTTTACAGCTTCTGTGAGTGACATGTATTCGGACTCGGTCGTCGATAATGCCACCACTCGCTGCAAACCAGACTTCCAACTTATTGTATTTCCTCCAAGAGTAAACACTAGGCCTATAGTGTATCTTCTTCTATCTGGGTCTGCAGCATAGTCTGCCTCGCAGTACCCAACCACTCTGAAGTCTGAGTTTCTCTTGTAACATAACCGTGTCTTCAGAGTATCTTTGATGTAGCGCAGTACCCATTTAACCCCAAGTCAGTGTTCTTTGATAGGTTGACCCATAAACCTACTGATAACACCAACTGAGTAAGCCAAGTCTGGTCGTGTTCCAACCATAACATACATGATGCTTCCTACGGCATTGGCATATGGAACAGACTTCATGTGGTCTTCTTCTTCAACTAGTTGTGCTTCTGTAGCAGTACGCAACTTAAAGTGAGCTCCCAAGGGGGTTGAGGTTGACTTAACATCATTCATACTGTAAGTCTCCAGGATTTTGTTCAGATATCCTTCCTGAGACAGCCACAGAGCACCTGCTGTTCTGTCTTTGATGATTTCCATACCGAGGATCTTCCGAGCAGCACCGAGATCCTTCATTTCAAACTTGTCACTGAGAGTTTTCTTTAACGGAACAATGGCTTCCTTGTTTCGTGCAGCAACAAGCATATCATCAACATAAATCAGTAGATACATCAATGATCCATCTTGAAGGGTCTTGATGTAAGCAGAGTTGTTATACTTGCTTCTGACAAAACCAATCTCTGACATGTAGTTGTCAAACTTCTCATTCCACTGTCGTGGAGCCTGCTTCAAACCATACATAGACTTGTTGAGAAGACATACCTCATCTTCCTTGAACATGGTTTCATAGCCTTCCGGAGGTGTCATGTAGATCTTCTCTTTTAATTCTCCATGTAGGAAGGCGGTTTTGACATCCAACTGTTCTAGCTCCAAGTCTTCTTGAGCCACAATTGAAAGCAAGATCCGTATGGATACATGTTTCACTACAGGAGCAAATATCTCATGGTAATCTATTCCTTCCCTTTGAGTGTATCCTTTGGCGACTAATCTAGCTTTGAAACGAGGTTCTTCAACGCCAGGAGTTCCCTGCTTATACTTGTAGATCCATCTACTGCCAATGATCCTCTGCTTTATGGGCCTTTTGACAATGGTCCAAGTGTTGTTTTTAAGCTGGGAATCCATTTCCTCCTTCATCGCTAACATCCATTCATCCCAGTTAGGATCAGATTTAGCTTCATTATAATCTGCAGGCTTCACTGCTCCGCCGTCTTCAGTCGTGTAGAGAGCTTCACACACATAATCTTCATCATCCAATCTCCGAGGTGCTCTGATTTCTCTTCTTGCTCTGTCTCGCACTAGATGATAACTCAGAGGAGATTGTCTTACTTCAGTCTCGGTCTCATCTTCATCAGCTTCCTGTGTAGGAGTATAGTACCTTGAGCTCGTCGGAGTGGAAGTACTCGTTCTTGAGCTCGAAGGAGTGTTGAGGACATCTTCTTGAGCTCCACCTGAGGTGACTTCCGTCTCAGCATCAATGTCCAAATCCATGTATGACCCGTCGTGATCTTCTTCGAGTGCAGTAACATTGATGTTTCTCTGCAGTAAGTCTTTGTATACTGCATTTTCTTGAAATATCATGTTCCGACTTACTACACACTTTCTCTCTTCCACAAGCCATACTTTGTATCCTTTAACTCCATCAGGATAACCAATGAGAGCTCCCTTCTTAGCTTTTGGACTCAGCTTTCCATCATCTGAATGTACAAACATAACACATACAAATCTTCTTAGATAGCTGTATACCGGTTGCTTCCCATACCATTTCTTGTCTGGTATGTCAAAGTTCAGAGCAGAGGAGGGAGTCTTGTTGATAAGAACTGCTGCAGTATGTGTAGCTTCTGCCCAGAACTTCTTTGGCAAGCCTGAATCACTGAGCATTGTTCTCACCTTCTCCATCAACGTACGATTCATTCTCTCAGCAACGCCGTTTTGCTGTGGCGTGTAAGCGCAAGTTCTATGCCTCTGTATCCCTCTTGATTCACATAAGCTATCAAACAGCCTATTGCAAAACTCCAGACCGTTATCAGTTCTCAGAGTTTTGACCTTCCTTTCACTTTGATTCTCAACTAAGTTTACCCATTCCATGAACTTTTCAAATGCTTCATCTTTTCTTCTAAGAAAGTAAACCCACACCTTTCTAGTATAATCGTCAATAAATGATATGAAGTATTGGTAATTACTTAGAGAGAGAGGCACGGTTGGAGCTCCCCAGAGATCAGAGTGAACATACTCGAGCTTGTCTTTAGTATCATGTTGAGCTAAGTTAAATCCCACTCTTTTAGCTCTTCCCAAGATACAGTCTTTACAGGTCTCAAAAGTAGAAACCTTCTTCTTGTCGAGTAGCCCCTTTTTAAGCATCAGAATTAAGTTCTTCTGACTCACGTGTCCCAAGCGATGGTGCCGGAGCATGGAGTCATCTTGTCTCCTTTCGGTTGCATGCGATTCATCAACGTGAGACCTCC